CCTTCCCCGATTTTATGTGAGCCGCCCTGAGTCCCCTCAGGGAAAAGGGCGGCCTACAAATGTCAATAAAATCAACAAATCAAATCAACAAATTTCTATTTTAAACATTGTTTTGTTCACTTTTTATACAATAGAGAACAAGCTAAATCCTGAGCATAGTCACACTAAATGATATACGAACAGACTTGTGCTTGACATAATGTTCTGTTCTGTTCTGTTATAAAACCTATGTTAATCTGATCTCATAAATAAAGTTTTCCACATTGATTTTTCTCTACAGCGTGCTATATTGAGCCATGTTAGTAAAATGCTAAACTGTAGACACAAATCATGTAAACAGGATTCATCCATTCTACTTAAAGGTAAAGGTAAAGGTAAAGGTTCCTTTCACACATACATGCTAGTCATTCCCAACTCTAGGTGGCAGTGCTCATCTCTGTTTCAAAGCCAAAGAGCCAGCCCTGTCCAAAAACATCTTCATAGTCATGTGGCCAGCATGACTAAAAGCCAAAGAATGACTGTTGCCTTTAAAAAAAAAAAGATACAACCTGCTGGTAGCCATGATTCATATCTTAATTCATATGAATTAAGTAAATTGTAACGCCCTACCCTTACCAAAACACTTTGTCATACCATGATGTCATATCTATTTCCCCAGGATGATGTGACTTTGTGACCATCTCAGAGCACCTTTTTGGCTTCTGATCCAAATTGCTTCACTATCCTGATTGTTTTAGGTAAAGGTTCCCCTCGCCCATATGTGCTAGTCATTCCCAACTCCAGGGGGCAGTGCTCATCTCCGTTTCAAAGCCGAAAGGGCCAATGCTCTCCAAAGGTGAGACGTCATGTGGCCAGCATGACTAAACAGCAAAGGTACCCAGAACACTGTAACCTTTCCACTAAAGGTGGTTCCTATTTTTCTACTTGCATTTTTACATGCTTTTGAACTGCTAGGTTGGTAGAAGCTGGGACAAGAAACAGGAGCTCATTCCATTAGGCAGCACTAGGAATTCGAACAGCCGAACTGCCGTACCTTTCTGATCGACAAACTCAGCATCTTAGCCACTGAGCCACTGCATCCTTTTCCATTCTACTTAGCACAGATCAATTCTCATGTAAGTATTAAGAGGATTCCAGTGGTTATATATGTTTTAATTAATCATATTTAAATAATCTTACACTCAAGTATAAATAGATACCATGCCTTAGTACAAGTGGTTGATTGCAGGCGGTACGCCCTGGTATGGGCATACGGGAAACTGCCTGGAGCACCGGGTACCGTTCTGGTACGGTGCTCCGGAGGCCCCGCCCGCGCTCCTTACCTGTCTTTAAAGTCTTCAGCGCTTCTGCACACGCGCATGGCACATACAGCGCCTGAGCGATGCTCCGCCGAGTGGCTGTAGCATCGCGGAGGCGTCGCTGGACAGCAAGATGCATGCGCACGCTAAACGCGTCCATGTGTACGACAACGGGCCCGTTCCAACCGTACCAGTTGGAACAGGATCTGGAACCCACCACTGCTTAGTACATATATACAGATAATGATTTATTGTAAGTAAATAATATCTAAATGCTAAAGTCATCTCAATAACACTGATGTTCAGTGGGAAGCACACTTAGCTTACCTGCTTCCTTGCACAGTGCTGCTAGGTCAGCTCCTACATATCCATGGGCACTGTCTGCCAGTTGAGCCAAATCTGTTGTTGACAATGAGTGAGGAGTCTTACTGAGAAGCTTCCTTAAGATGTCTAGTCGATCTTGAGAATTGGGAACTCCAATTTCTATCTCTTTATCAAAACGTCCCGGTCTGCGCAGGGCTGAATCTAGTGCATGAGGGCGATTGGTAGCTCCAAGAACTAAGAGCTGCCCCTCATTATCTTCCTAAATGACAAAACAGTTTTACTGAAAACAGGTTTACTGTAAGTTGTGGAAATGACTTCTCATTTTATCATTTATCATTTTATTGAGATTTATAGGCCGCCCTTCTCCATGAGGGGACTCAGGGCGGCTTACAATCACAAGGG